ACGTTACCTTTCACTGAGTGAAGATTTTCACCTTTTAGTAGCCTTATTTATATAATTGACACTTGTTTCAGTGGGTTTGCTCCAGTATTTCATTACCAGCTGATGTATCCAGGTCAGCCTTGGCAGGTTAGTGCAGAACCCCACTCCCTCAGCAGGAGCTGAAAATTTAGGTCAATTCCATAACTTTGATGAACCTTTAGAAGGAAAATGATTAAAGTGACAGCTTCCATTGAGTCCCTGCTGAGGTCTCCGACCTTAAATCACGGAGGTCACCAAAAATATGTGAAGAATCTAAATAAACTCCAAATCAGAACTCCTTTAGATTCTTCGTGCACTGTGGGCATCAATATGGATTAAAGGAAGTGCACAATGCTTTATAGTTTCTCAATAATTAAAACTTTTCATAGGAATTTCACAAATTTCAATGCATACTTGTTTTCCTCAACCCCACCAAATACAGTTTTTACAGAGACAGTGGCAAAGATACCACTTCAAGTTACCAAGGTATCAATTCAGCAAATTTTTCATAAAACTGCAACCATGTAATTTCAGGGTTTCCTAGATTATAATCCACATTTTTTCAAAAGGTTTGGTAGTTTTCCATGCCATATCAGAATGGATTTGCACATTCAGTGTCTGAGCCTTGTGGGTASAGTGACAAGAACCCTTCCTACGTCACCGAATCAATCATCGGGCAGGAACCTTTCCTGACTGCACAGGACAACCACGATGACACATGGGTTTGGTATGAAGGACTCCTTGACACGGCATAAAACACTGCCCAAACCCAGACTTTCTTTCATTACAGAGTAATTTTTTCCATTTTGGAACAGAAGCTCTGGTGGGCTGAGCAGCCCCACTCTGAAGAGCTCTGGGGGAAACATAGATTTCTACCAGGTTATTTCTACCAGGTTATTTCTACCAGGCTGCAGGACACCAAAGTTTTGGGGATCCAGTCTCCTCTAACCCCAAGCTGCAGATGGGGCTGTTTTCTGTCCCTACAGCTGTCACTACAGTGAAATGTGTGCAGCCCTTACTTCTGTCTGCAAAAGCCACAGCAATGCCCTTCTGCACTGCTGCATTGTCCAGGGGTGAGCCCTACAGTGACATTTTTGTCAACTGAGTCCCAAATGGCACCTTTTGTATATTAGTATTTAGTGCCAGTCTATAATTAGAAGATAATTTTTTCCAGAGCTAATGAAAAGATGCCCTAGCAACCCCTGGATCCGATCCCACATCCATTAATACAGCTCAAACAATTCAATTTCATTTTATGTGGGACAGACCACAAAGTTCCAAGGAAGATGACGCCAAGTATTTTCAACCAGGAGTATGTTGAAACTTGGTAAAAAAGGATGGAAGAATTCACCCTGTATCTCTCCCTGTTAGATACAACTGGGAAAGAAACTGGGAAAATTAAATGAGTAATGCTTCCGGACCCATAACGGTATTTTGATGGAAATGTGGCTAAGAAATYGATTCCATGGAAAAATTAAGGAAAATAAAATTCTATCATCATAATGAAGACTCACACTGTTGTTATGAATCATTAGTGTCAGTTTACAGAGGTGMAGATGGTTCAGTGCAGGGACACAATGAACCTTGGCTGCATTTCCTCCCGTGTGCCAGCCTGGGTGGGTTTCTGGCACGGTGTCCTGCTGACACACAGTGACCATCAGTCACCAAAGGTGGCTCCATCCCACACCCAGCACCCCAAACCCAGATCCCACACCAAAAGCAGCATCCCCAGCACTCCCACCAAAAGCAGCATCCCCAGCACTCCCATCCCCAGCTGGCAGCACGCTTGGTCCAGCACGTGAGAGCACAGCTAATGATGAGCCACAATGAAAGGAGTGCTGGGAGGGATCTCAAACAGCCCAACCACACGGATCCTGCTTGGCACGGGTGCAGCACCATTCTCTGTGCCTTTCTGTTTGGATAAAGTTCTTCAAAAGCACTACAAGCCCATTAAAATGCACCGGAAAAGCAGCAGAGAGCTGCCAGGATGAATGAAAGCGGCTGCACTTCCCAACGRGGCTCAAAGCCTGGCACAACCCATCCACCAGAGATGCCCAGCAGCACCTGAGTGAATGCCAGAAGAACATCACTCCGTGGAAAACCCGATTTTCACAGGCAAACAGCACAAATGGTTGGTTTTCACAGAGCAGCCTGTGCCTGTGGATGAGCACACAGCTCAGAGCCCAGTGGGGCTGGAGGCTGGGGCTGACCAAACCCATCCCAGTGYCCCCATTCCTGTCCCAGCAGAGCCCCCAGAGTGGAGAATGAGCTGTGGAAATACCTCCTATCCTGTTCCAGCAATGCACACTGTCCTCAGCTCCTGYATGGCACAGTCACCAGCCTTTGGGATTTAACAGTGAGGTAAATCCTGCTCACAAACTGTTAAACTGACAAAGAAATAACAAYACAATTGCAATGAAGGCCCAGAGTGAAAGGCAAATGTGCCTCATGTTGGCCATCTGAAAAGGTCACCAGGATGTTTGTGGCAAGGATACAAACATTTTAAACTTTGAACAATGGGGTGGACAAGGAAACCACTGACACCACCCCAGGGAGGGAATAAATACTGYCCCAGACCAGGAATTCACTCTAAATCGTCTGTGTTCTGATGAAACCCTCTACAATAGACACCAATTCACACACCTCAGCATCATCAAATGAACGGGCTGTTAATTAATGGTTTTCTGGAACACTTTCAAAAGTTGGGCTCTCAAACTATCATTCCTCTCCCGCTCCCTCTGGACAGCCTTTACAAGACAGATAAAAGCAGAACATCCTGTCCCCAACCACAYAGCACTGGAGGAGATTTCAAAGACAAAGATCAATGCCTCATCATCTGGTTTTTGGCATGAATCTTCTAATACAGGGTTATTTCTCACCTGACAATTCCCAACTGCGTATTTTGCTTATTTACAGAAAGACAGGAATTAACAACAGCTCATGACATTTTTATTTTAATGAAATTTAAAAAGGCAGTTATTAGTTATACATACACACAACTGATTCTGTACTTGTTAGTCATAAATATAGAACATTCAGAAGTACAAAATACACTTTATCCACAGCACAATTTCACATCAATATGAAGAGTTTAAACAGATACGTAACCAAGTGCCTAACAGTGACAGAAGCCCATTTTTGGAGTTGTCTTCTTTTTCTTTTTTTCTCTTCTTTTTTTTTAAGACCATTAATCTACACAAAGTAATCAGTGCCCACAATCATCAGTTTCATGGAATGCACTCTGGTTTAGAGTAGGAAAAGACTGACCTTTTAAAGACAATCAGATGCCATCACCTTTTCTTTCCTCCATTAACAGCAACAAGCCCAAGCCCACGTTCTCTTCTCCTCACAGTTAACAACTGTGAAAAATGGGACTCTGGCAAAAATCACCTGAAGCCAAACTTGAGCACTGCCAGGAAAAGTGAAAATATCTGAACTAGAAATTAGTCCACTCGATACCTTGCAAATAAAGAGCAACAGCAGTATGACASCGATAAGGCATTAATGAAAAAATGGCTGTATTATTCTCGAAAAAAGAGTACACCTATGTATAAAAATATATGTCATAGCAATTGGGTAAATCCAACACTATTTAACACTGTGCCAAAAGTAATTAAGAGTTAAAAAGGCCGTTCTGCAAGAAGTATTTACAGTTTCATACTGTACTTCAAAAGAAAAGAAAAGGCAACAAAGCTACAAATGGAACTATCTGGTTAAAGCATCACTGTAGGTACTGCCAGTAGCACTTATACAMGTAATGTGATGGACTGATTGTTCATCTAAATAAATGAATATAAATATTTYAGTATCTAAAATTGTCTCAGTCTACATGTCTGCTCCTTGAAATAACTCACCCAGACCATCACTGTTTGCAGTTTCTTGCTCCACTGGTTTAAAACCCAAAAGATTCAGTTTTAAGAAACATCGTGTTTGCAACAGTTCCATCAGAAATCACAGCTTTATTTCCAGCTTAGGAAAAAAAAAACCACAAAAGAAACGAGAAATCCAACCACCTATGAAATTGTGGAAACTGGAAGCCAAAGTGCCAAGGAAGCTACACTGACAGCAATAAAAACATCAGCATTCCCAATTACAACTGCAGCTATAGGGTCAGTTAGGTGGCTTTA